TACTTGCAGTAATAACTCCTGCTAGTGAGCCGTTCTTCGTGCTGCCTTCATAGAAATAGTATAGAAAGCCGATTCCATATATCAAAAATGAAACCATAAGGAGAAAATAGTGTGTCGGAGCTCATGCGTATAACGGTGCTGGCGCGAACAGGACCGGTGCAATTTTTTTATTGATCGAACAAATAGTTCGCACGATATTTCAATCATACATTTTTAGAGATGATTCTATACAAAAAACGATTAAAAAAATTTCAAGTTAAGGTAAATATGGTTCTGACAGTCCTTATTAAGAAAGATAAGGCATAAAATATGAATTAGTTAATTTTCGGCAATCATTAGTACAGTAGTCATGAGATTTTGCTTGTGATTTTAAAAATACTTTCCAGAAAAACCACGTGCTCCGGTTTTAACTACGTTTATTATTAAATAGCGAAATTATATACAAAAACTTTAATCCACAATCTAAATTAGGTACTATCACAAGAAAATCACTGTTACAATAATTAATTACTTAACCAAAAACTAAAATACTTTTTAGGTACCTACGTAACCAGAAAGGAGCTGGACCATTTATCCTAATATTGATTTTCTCTCTCCCTACGGTAAAACTTAAAACAATAACAAATTGCTTATCTACTAGGGTCGGTAACTAAACGTATATACATAATGGGCGGATTTTGTTTATACTTAACATTACACTCGCGCATTTAAATATAACTATGCATATAAATATTTACAAACAAAGATACTTTTCCAAACAGGCAATCATTAGTACTGTAGTCACGAGATTTTGCTTGTGATTTGACATCTTATTTGATAATATCATTTGCTACAACTAAATTTAATCTGGAGAGTGCAAAATAGGGCCCAGGAATATTATGTTCGATATTTTTTTACATTTTGTCAGCCGAGACTATGAGTCGTTAGACAGAAAACCTTTCATGTTACCATTCTCAATATAAATTAAAAAATTAAAAAATACTACTACATTTACTTGGTACATATTTTATTTTAATTTTGAACCCTTTTAAAAGGGTCTTTCGGTTCCATAATAAAAATTAGTTGCTGCTTACTAGAAACATTCTATTGTATAGCCTAAACCAATTTATAGTTTGTTTTCGATCAATCTAATACAAAGATTTAAAGTTTTTAGTCGATGATAACATTCCACACCAGCACATTGCAAACCTATTTTATAAATAATAGGAATAAACTTGTAAATCATTAATTTGGTAGTTATCTCACTCATATGATTTTTTTGTTTATATGAATATTTCGATTTCTAAATATATTTTGGCCTTACAATACGAAGCGTTTTGTATCTACCACTTTTTTAATGAACGATGAATGTTGACAGGCGTGTACCTTTTTCGGAACAAGAGGCGTTTTAACGAAGGAAATGATTTTCGAACTATCTAGTTAGTTTTCGGAAAATAGAAAACGTTTGAAGAAAGTTGTCAATAACAGTTTGTCGTTCATGTGTTTCATTTTGATCAGCTTTCATACTAAATTGCGTAGAATATTTTTCCGATTCAAAATCGAGATTCTCGATATTTCCACAGTTTATTTATAATACCTTCTAAACTGGATTTATCTATCATTTTATATACTTTATAATATATGTTCATGCCCTACTTTTCACTTTATTAATAATTTTTTTTTAACATACTTCAAAATGGTAGGATATTCTCAATTCGTTGAAATATTTTTTTATGTATGTTGAGCGATAATTCTTTACCACGTTGCCCGATTTCTAGGATTCCTTTTGTTAGAAAAGGAAACAGTTTTATATACATTAAGTCAAGATCTGAAGATGGGATCCATAAGAAAATCATTAACATCTTTATTTTTAAAGTAGGTTTTTTTTTTAAATTTCTTTAAACCTTACTGGTTCGAACGCCGTAAGGAATGAAGAAATGTAAATAATTGTTGTGCCAGCCAAAAAACGAAGAGGAAGTACCGATTAAAATATCGAGTGACAGAAGAGTTCTTAAGATTGTTGAGATCGGGTTTATGTTTTAAAATGCCTTAAAACCGATATCGATAATGTCTCCCCGTCGCTGGGCAGCCTGTATATAAATATACAGATCTCTATTTACATAATTATAATTCTTAGGTAGGTTTAGATTTGCAGACATAAATCTTGTAATAAATATAACAGCTGCCTAATACATTGATTACATTTTCATTAGCCAATGTAAAAATGTCTTTTATTGTACCTAGGATTTGACTAAACACTACACAAAACTAAAAATAAAATGCCACTTTCATCGTGTAATTAATGCCTCGTTTGAGAATCCACATCGGATGCATTTTTTACATCTCGAGCGTTTTTTATCCACATCGGACACATCTGTCCCATTACATTTACGTATACTGAATCACGTGATCAAAGATTTACTACTTACTATATCTCAGATGCATCCGATGTGGATTCTCAAACGCGGCATAAATAATAAACTACAAACGGTCCTGTAAGGGCAGCGTCATATAGCCTTGAAACACCGGATTTTAGTGCTATTGCCAGGTCAATATTGAATTTGTAGGTTAATCGCTTATTGAACATTAAAAATACGGTATTAATGACATTAATACGGTATTTGTATATATTTTTGGGAATGTAATTACACATAAATATTATTAGTTGATTATTTAAATGTTTATAAGTTATTTTGTGGCGATATTTCGTAGATATAAACTGTTTAAATCATATAATTTAAAAATTAATTAATTTAAAATTCTTTTCTGTTAGGTATGTTTAATATATTTGGCAACACTACAGGGAAAAGTCATGCTTATTGCGCAAGCTTCTAGACACACTATTTTGCGATGTCAGGCGCAGAGACGCGTTTTTATGCACAGTAGGTTTCAATGTCTGCTTAAATGTTATGTTTATATTGGTCTTCTATATTATTTCTATGGCTGCCTTCGAATAATAGAGATTTATCTAGCCTCCTACCAGGTGACAGAAGTATTTCGGACTATGTAAAGGTTCCAAATACTAAGCGAAGAAGCTGTTAAATTGTCTTAGACAGGTCCAAATCTAGAGGATGGTCCTTCGACGTAAAGAAGCTCCAAGTTAGAAAGCGTAACGGAAAAAAGTAGCAAGTCAAATTAAAAGTGGAAAAAGGAAAAAGGTTTGAAGAAAGACCTAAAAGAAGAAATAAACTATGAAATACAAATGAATAGAAATCAAGGAGTTTGTACTTACTAAAGAGGTGACGGGTGGCCTATGAGAAAATCAACAACATCATCTGGTGAGTTAGATTCTCCTGAATATTTAATTATTGACTTTCTATGTAAACTTTTTTTCAATATTTCAAGTGAAAATCCGAAAAATCGTGAATTAGAAGAGAATGCTTTACTTCCAAAAGCCCAAAAGAAAAGATAAAAAAAAAGGCAAAAACGTTTAAATAGATAAGCGGCAAATACCAGGTAAGTACCAGGGATTTCTATAAATTCTAAGGTGGATAACCAGATTAATTTTTAGGAAAGATTATTAATTAGCAACTGAATGTTTTGTGATAATTAATATGTCAATCAAAACTGTCAAATAAATATAAATGACTTTTGGTAATAAACAAAAACAAAGTCAAAGCTTTCAGAGATGTAAATATGGTTTTAAATTAAATAATTGTAATTTTCAAAAATATATTTGATTTTAAATATGAAGAATTATGAAACAAATTGTAAAACAATATTTGTTTAGTTATGTATATTAAAAATTACTTTGTAATTATTTTTAAAAATATTATAACGTATTGACAAAAAATTTAGTATTTGTGCATTTTACAGTAAACATTTTTTTACTTTTTTAAAGATTCCAATTCACAATAACAGGCCCCCTCCCACATGCTCATTACGCCACTGCTCATATAATCTGTTATTTTCTTGAAGGGTAAAGTCAGGAGAATTTAAATTTAGAATCAAATACTCCATTTAAAGTATGTTTGATTAATTCTGAAGTTATGGATCACTCTGTATATTCGAAAATAATTTTTAAATGTGCACATTAACATTATCTCCAACTTTTGTAAATAACACTATTTTGAATTTTCTATAAATCGGATATATCAAACTTCCACACACTTGGGAGAGGTGCTATAAGGGAAAATAAAAATAATGATTTATAATGAACAGAAAAATATTTTTAAATTTCAATATAGACGAAAATATTAATTAAAATGTTGATAGGAATTAAAAAATATACTTAAGTTTAAATCAATGCACTTATTTTTAAGTGATTTAGATTTATAGTCTAAGATCCGAAATAAGGTCGACCTTCACCCATCTGTTTACCGGATGAAAGTTTCTTTTAATTAAATAAAATATGTTTATAAATATATCGCAAAAAGGTTGCCTAAGAAAATACGGTCCAGAGTATTTATTTTCTAAAAATAAAAAACAACACCCTGTAAAGTATTTACCAGATGCTTCGATTATGCCCAAACTTTAATCAGCTCACCGCATGATAGATTAAAGCCTAAGTTTAAAATTTGGTGTTTTTCTCTTTATCAGTTTTTGAGTTGTCTTCAAAATTCGAAATTTGCAATTTTTCTTAAATATCTCGAATTAGGTCCATTTTAGGGAAATCATGTATAGGGACAAAATAATAGAGAATGACATTATAAACAATTTTTATCATGATTCCTATACTTTCCTCATCTGTACACAGAAAGGAAAGCAAAAAATGGCTGAGACCGTATTTTTTTAGGCAACCCATTTGCGATATATTTAAAAACATATTTTATTTGATAAAAAGAAACTTTCATCCGGTAAACAGACGGATCCTGGACTATTACTTTATTCAATAAATAATCTAAAAACCAATGAAAAATGTAGATTTTTATTTTACAAATTTCATACTTGATTATGGATTTCCAAGTGATGCATAACATTTTATCGAGAATATTTTTTTTGTAAATTGAAGATAAACTTTTTTCCCATTTGCATAAAACTTTTTGGTACACACTATATATGTATAACTATAAAAAACTTACTTTACTATTTGGATGTTTCTCTTCTTTTTTTAAAGTCACGCTAACTTTAACCGGTACTCTTTCTAATGGAGAAGCGTCTCCTGTTAATTTATTTAAACCTTTATCGGACGCACTCCTATATAAAACTAAACTAGGAAAATTTTGTAGAATCACATTATATAGCTTCTTATTCGAACTAAGTTGTTGTAATACTTCTATAGGCACCTAAAACAAATCAAAATATTATCTATAATAAGCAAATGACAAATAAAAAATACAGAACAATTTTTTAATAATGGATATCTTACGTTTCTTGACTAAAAAAGTACAATATAATTTGGCTATGGACTATAACAACAAATCGAAATTTTTTACCTTTCAAAATATGCCAAATATTTTATAGATGCAGTTTACCACGGAGAAATGTGGTCTCCATTTTGTTTAAAACGAAATTATTTAAACAATTCTTACAAGGTGTTATTTTCATACTCTTTTATTTTAATATAAATAAAAAATGTCCTTTAAATTTTTTGGAAAAAGTTAATATTTTAGATTTATACGAATGTTAAGGTGATTACAGCACCCCTTATAACTTTCGGACAAGCATATCTCAAAAAGTAATTTTTTTAAAAAATTAAAATTTTGGCAAAATAAATGAGGCAATAATATCTAAAGTATGCATATATTTTAAAGTTTTAGTTCCATCCAGTTTCCAAGAAAAAAATCAAAGCGCTTTAAATTTTTAAATATCATAATGAAAATAAATGCGTTCCTCAACAGCACTATTCTTAATATAATCCCCAAATTTAAGCTCTTAATCTCTTGTTAATGATTTTTTAAAATTGGCCAAAATTAGTGGCTAAAACGCCTCGTCAAGTGCCATTTTATAGTGTAAACTGGTGTAAATCGTTTCAAGAAACGAATGATGACTCAGAATGTACGATATGATAGTTACAGATGCGTTACACCAGAAAGTAGCACTTAAGGAGGCGTTTTAGCCACTTATTTCGGCGAATTTAAAAAAATATCATTAACAAGAGATTAAGAGCTTAAATTTGGGGATTATATTAAGAGAGCGCTGTTGAGGAATGCATTTATTTTCATTATGATATTTCAAAATTTAAAGCCCTTTGATTTTTTTCTTGGAAACTGGAAGGAATTAAAACTTTAAAATATTTGCATATTCTAGGTATTATTGCCTTATTTATTTTGCCAAAATTTTAATTTAAAAAAAATTACTTCTTGAGACATGCTTGTCCGAAAATTATAAGGGGTGCTGTAATCACCTTAAGGGCATTCTTACTTTTTTCTAGACGGTACATTTCTAATTTTCATTTGGTAACATGTAACGCAGTGAAACCTACGTGAAGATATATTTTAGTTGAATAGATCAAAAGTTGACAAATTCGTTATTCACATGAACATCGCTTGCTGATGTGCTGCAATCAACTGGTCTATTCGAATATTGGTTGGGACCGACGACAGTTGACGAGCTGGTTACTCTCAAGTACGTCGCTTTGTCAAATGCTGCAATTATCTGGTCTATTAGGGCCGCCTATTAGAGGGTATTTATTTGTTTTCAGTGGCCGACGTATTTAAAGATTCTTCAGCTAGATATGCTGTTTTTTAAATTTTCGGTACGATTTACCGATTAAATCTTTATATTTTATTACGAAGGATTTGATGGGTGGCACAAAATTGATCGAATACATTTGATCGATTATCAATTGATCAAAAAGAAAAATTATCGAAAAGAACAATGATTAAAAAGAACAATGACCGAAAAGAAAATCAATGAAGAATAGATTTGACAGACAAAGCAACTGATCCGAAAAACCAAATATACATAAAACTAGAAAAACTAAAAAAACCTAATTTACCTAACCTGTGCGAGAACAATGAGATAAATTTAATTGGCTTCAGGCCGGACAGGTTAGGTAAATTGGTTAAGAATTTTTGATTTTCTCATTTTTGAATATATTTTTTGGCGAAGCAACCCTCGACGGCTTCAGGCCGCACATATTAGATAAATTAATTGAGTTTTTATAAAAAAAATTTAATTAATTTACTTTACCTGTCTAAGAGCAATCAGTAAAATTTAAATGGCTCCAGGTCGCACAGGTTAGGTAAATTAGTTAAGTTATTTTGAGTTTCCTCATTTTTGTTTTGTAAAACAACCTTTGATAGCCTCAGGCTGCACAGGTTAGGTTAGGTTAGGTTAGGTTAGGTTAGGTTAGGTTAGGTTAGGTTAGGTTAGGTTAGGTTAGGTTAGGTTAGGTTAGGTTAGGTTAGGTTAGGTTAGGTTAGGTTAGGTTAGGTTAGGTTAGGTTAGGTTAGGTTAGGTTAGGTTAGGTTAGGTTAGGTTAGGTTAGGTTAGGTTAGGTTAGGTAAATTAGTTGTTTTTTAAATGAGCCAGCTATTGTTTAAGAATATCGAAAAATTTGACGATATACGCTTGAGTTTAGATTCCCCGGTAATAGGAATTAGACGGACGGTTGCAAGATTTCGTTTGATTTTTTTATATTTTACTATTTTTAAATTTGATTTTCATTATGTCCTTTTGATGTAATGAATTTTATACGAGTATCTATTGTCCTTTCGATAAAATACAGGGTGTTTTCGAACTTGACGTCCAAATTTGTAGGGGTGGTAGTTCGCATAATTTGAGAGCGATTGGCAGATTTCATTTTTCTAAAAAAATTATAATAAACAAAATAGAGCCATTATAAAAAAAATCAAAGATAATTGCCCTGAGCGCGTAGCGCAATAGTCCTCACAAACAGATACGATTTGCAATTTTGTCGATTCTAAGCGTAGCGAGTTGAGGCGATCCCATCGCTGTGTAGGACCGTACCTGTTTATAATTTGTAATTAATTTTTTATTATTTTTATTTTAAATATTTTGGAAAAATGAAATCTGCGAATCGGTCTCAAAGTATGCGAACTACCACCCCTACAAATTTGGACGCCAAGTTCGGAAACACCCTGTATACAGTTAGTCCAAAAAATCTCCGTACACTACCTGCTTTATATAGAATTTTTCTGTTGCATTTAATTTATTAATTGAAACTACCGAGAGAATCTCTTTTCAATAACTGAAGCATAAGTAACGATTATAAAATTATAATTACAATAAATGGACATTATTTAAAAGAAATATCGGCATTATAAAAATCTATGCAAAATTTATGTCAAAAAAGTCTCCGTACACTCATAATTTTCATTGAAAAAAGCACATTATAATTAGCTGCATTTCATCAAGGCACCTATGGCTCGCCAGCCTAAAAATAAATGAATAATTATCGGCCATAATTTATTATCTGTCATTTGTTGTTGGTAGATTTGCAGTGAAGTTTCAAATTAGCATTAAAAATGAGCGAAAGAACTCGTGAAATTGCAATTCTACTTCGAAAGTTGATAGTTGATTTATGGAAAGAAAAAAAAATCCCTTAGAAATATTGGAAAAATTGTTAAGAAGCCGTATACTACCGTTCAGTACATTCGACTACGTTCTGGTCGTCCCAAGAAACTGAATCCGCGTGCAGAAGCTAGGCAAGTAATTATAAATCCCAAGAAAAGTGCACCAAAACTAAAAGAAGAAATACGAGAGCTATTTTCAAAAAATGGTTGCCCACAAACGGTGAGAAATTGTATACACAGAGCATGCTATAAGGGGTGTACTGCCAGAAAGAAGCCGTTAAATTTGGAAGTTAATCGAAAAAAACGTTTAGCTACAGCTACAGAATACGTTAATAAGCCTCCTGAATTTTGGGAATCTGTAATATTTAGTGACGAAATTAAAATTAACCTTTTTGGATCTGATGGTAGAGCTAAAGTTTGGAGAAACAAGAATACCGCCTTTGATATTAAAAACCTCTGTTCCACGGTAAGACACGGGGGTGGCAGTGTTCTGCTATAGGGATGCATGTCCGCTGGAGGTGTTGGAAATTTACATTTCATTAATGGGATCATGGATCAGCATGTCTATATAAACATTTTGCGAGACAATTTAGCAGAAAGTGTGCAGAAATTAGCGCTCAAAGGAAGATACATTTTCCAACAGGACAATGATCCAAAGCATACTGCAAACTTGGTGCGAGAATGGATGATTCATAACGTGCGACAGCAACTTCACACACCCCCGCAATCACCTGATGTTAACCCCATTGAACATTTATGGGAAGAACTTAAACGGCGCGTTCGCAAACATAACGTTTCAAGTAAGGAAGAGTTAAAAAACAGAGTATTGCACGAATGGGAGAACATTCCAGAAAAACTTACTAGAAAGTTGGTTTCAAGTATGACAAGAAGGTTACAAGCGATTATCAAGGCCAAGGGCGTCCAACTAAATATTAGTTTTTACATTTGTTTCCTATCTGTTAAATTATTATTAGAAACTGTTAAGTGTACGGAGACTTTTTTGGCATTATTTTTGTATAGATGTTTATATTATTGATGTAATTTTTTAATAAGGATTCGTTATTGCAATTATTACTAATAATCGTTAAAAGTATGTTTCAATTATCAATAAAAATATGTTCTCATAGAGTTTTGATTAATTAATTGAATACAACAAAAAAGTTCGATGTAAAGCAGGTAGTGTACGGAGACTTTTTGGACTAACTGTATATTCGATCAAATGTTATTCGATAGAATGTATTTTTGAACAAATTTTCAATTCGATCAAATGTTTTTCGATCAGTTTTTTGTCACCCCAATTTGATACCGCACGACAAATAGGCAGGTACTTTAATTCATCCATATTAGGGCCAATTTCATAATCGAACCCTAAAGGCAGATTTAAAAAAAAGAAGCTTCTATTTAAAGTTCACTTTAAAGTCTCTTCTAAAAAATGTAATTTCATAATGGCTTTCCTAATGTACTGTAACTTGACAAACCGGACCCTCACCTAGTTTTGCAAATACTTATAACCTTGGCCTAAATTTCGTCTAGTGGGTACCCACGAAGTGATGTTAAAACCCCCAGAATTACGTTTAGAGTTCAATGTAGCTGTAATGGAGGAAGAACAAAGGAAACACCGAGATTAATTTTGAATACTGTTTATGTAATATCTATTCTTTTGTACAGCCGAACATTTAGATTTGTGCCATTTTTAGGCTTAACATTCTGTTAATGTAGGCTTCCTAATGTGTCATTTCTAACCTCAGAGCTTTTAGTTCCCATAAAAGGGTAAAATAAAAGTCGGAAGTACTTTGGTATGTTTG